ACACACACACACACACCCATAGCTATACTAACAGACATATACACCCACATCCACTCGCCCAGACACGTGCTCACACATGAGCCCCTGCATGGGGCCCCCCTATGGCAGCTGAGACGAGCCTGCCACTCTCACTATTTCCACATATGCTGCCCCATGACTTGAGGCTTTGTGAGTTTCTCATGCAGGGATTATTCCTAGCTGCCATGTGTGAAGTAAGGGACTGTAAATTAGCATTTGACAGATATGTGCTCCAGAGGTCCAGTGCTGATATTTTGTGCCATTACTTGGCTAATATGGTGCCAGAAAACAAGCTCCTGGAGCACAGAGCACTGTAGCTCCTCACTGAAAGTGTGGATACAAATAAAAACCAATATCTGACTTTTAATAATAGGCCATCTCCCAAATACCAGTGTAATGCCAGTGCATAGATATATGAGGTGTCATGTTCTCAGTGTGAGGTGTTGCAGCTGAGAACATAGACGGTGCAGTCTGGGCACGTCTAACGCTCACCTCGGCTAATCGGAAAGCCTTATTTTAGAAGTGTGACATCCTGTCTATGCTGTGTAATCCACACCGGATCATAAAGGGGCTGGACTGCACAGTGCAAGGATGTATACACACACACACACATTTGTGTGCGTCTTTGAAGTTAGCCCAAGTCTATCGTATCGTCTGCTAGAAGTCAATGGCTTATCAGGAGCGCACTGTCAAGTTTCCAATAAAAGTGTCTCACTCACCCCTTGGTCAGGGTCTCGGTGTATGTATATAAATGTGTGGGTCTATTGGAGGAGGATTTCTCACGTTTTCATGTCACACACTCTCAGCCACTAACCCACATTTGATAATGTTTAATACCAGTGACCCACATAAGAAGTTATCATACACCTCTAATAATTCATTTCAGGTGAATCAAATTGTAGTGAAATTACACCACTTCTCATTTTTGCACTAAATCACCTGACACATGCCCAAGGGCCCCTGAGAACCAGAGCCACAGACATCACCAAGCCGCTTTTATAAAACAGGAATTCCCACCCTGGCTGTCTGTTTGCCTCATGTCTCACAGTCCCACTGTTCAGTAATCTAGACATGCAGATTTCTCCCAGTCCCCACCGCTGAGCCCCACAAGCTCAGCTGCCAATTTCTGACCCCCTGACGCTCTCCTCCGTCCAAGATTACCGGGGCCGGATCTCACCGCGGCGTTGGCAACCGGTAATCCACGAGAGGAGGACTGGCACGTGGCACAGAGACTTTGCCCAGAAGCAACACAGTGTGTGCGTCTGTGTGTGTATAATGATCAGCCACTCTCTGAGCTGAACTGCAGGCACTAGCCTCTTGCCTCTAGTCTCGCTTTGCTGCCCCGATATGTAGGACATATCTCTTCATCTCTACATAACCCACAAACCTACCAGCCACAGCCACGACTCCTCTGTACTACTGTAGTCCCTGTCTTTTTTATTACATATAACACCCCCAACTCTTTTAACCATAAAATGCACTGGTCAATAACAATTGAGCACACCTTTTGCTTGAATGGACCTAGTAAATATTATTATTTTTATTAAAAAATCTGAATGTTTTCCAGTTTTAGCTACAGTGCAGTGAATCCTACACATTGTAAAGGGCATGACCAGTGATAGAACTTGTCTTGGGTTGTGATTTCTTGAGTGTAGTCAGTTTGTTGCACCACCACTTCGATCCAGACTGAAATATTCCAACAATGATTGTATCAAATTTTGTAATTAAGGTACCCAGGGGATAAATCCTTGTGAATTTTTATAAATCAGCAATATTATCTTATTTGTTGCCTGGACTGGCATATTTCAGCTACTCTACCATGACTTTTTCTTGCGTCTGTATGCCATGTCTGGTGTGTGCTCCAGACATCAATTGACATGCATCAAGTGACGGATTGTACTTTAGTCTTTTTATAGAAGCTAAGCCTGATAATATCAAACTAACACAAAATACCACAAGACAAGAATGTGCTGGATGCAAAAAAAATGACATTTCTAAGAGCTTCAACAATAAATCAGGTGTGTAATCTTTGGACATATGAAAACAAAAATTTGTTAGAAAATATAAAATGTGAGAAACTAATAAAGAACAGAGATGAAATAAAAGGTCATATTAATATTCTATACAAAGTAGTGGATGCAAATGCCTCCTGAGTATTTGTAGAAAAATAGCTCTTCAAACTAGGTCTAATCTACCTTCTATTTCAAATGAAACCATAAATCAAGTCAAAAATCCATAGATGTCATTTCCACATTTGAAGCAACTCCTCTCAGGAACCAAAAATATAATAGAGACACAAGCCTTAAGAAATAGACTTCTCTTACAGCATGACATTTCTAGAGGTGTACTGCCAGCACAGACAGAAAAGAACATTCTTGGTCATGGCAGCACTCTGATGTTATTAAGCAAAGTCAGGGAAAGTCACAGAGTTGTGCATCAGGGCCGTGGTGGATCGAGGACAGCTGTCGCATCGGCAGACCTCAGTGGTATTCGTTCGTCTAGCCATGCTACTTTCCTGTGAGAGCAGCTCTGATTACACAGACATGTGGCATAGCATGACACACTGCCAGCATGGTCGAGAGAGGCAGTGAGAGAGAGAGAGAGAGAGAGCATCTAACCCCATTACAAATGACCACCTGTTGACACTAGGAGTGTGTGTTTGAGTGTGTGGCGGAGGCGGCGGCTTGTTCTGCCCACTCCCACACACTGCAGCAGTTTTCTGGATGAATGATGTAGATTCCTGAGGGAGATCCTCACAGACAGAAAATAGGAGCGAGAGAGAGAACTATATGAGTGAATATATCTCCTATCTGTCCTAGCAATATCTGTGGTTTGACAGAGCCAGTCCAGATCCGCATGTGTGACCTCTACTTCAACACATGAACCCTAAACACGCACACACATACATGTAGGATAATTACACAATGAAACTGGGTTTTTTCCAGCAGTCAGTAAGAATCATGTAGCTTTCCTCCACATGTTCCCCTCTGCCAAATCACTTCTAGCAATTGAAAAAGATTTGTTTTAAAGGATGTGTTTTTGTAGGCCCATTTATTATTATATACTTCCCAAAGTTTCACATGTGTGGTAGGCTCCTTTCTAAACAATGTAGCTGGTGTGGTGAGGTGTCATTATCCCCTTAAAAACTAGTTTTTATTTTATTTTTATTTATATTTTGCTTTACATGCCCACACAGGACCCATACAAAGTAGCAGAATGTCTACTCAGTAGGATTTAAAGTTGGATAATTCATTTCCTGCTGTCTTCATTAGCTGTGTTATCTGTCTTCCACCAGCTTTGGCTATATGTAACGGATCTTAAATTAGACTCCAGGTAGCATTAAAAATATGTTAGATTTTTATTTCTGGAAAGCTACACACACTCTGTTCAATCAGAAATACATCCCAATTGCTCTTTGTGTGTGTGTGTGTGGCAGCTAGTGACAGCCACAGCTTGGAGAGGCTGAGGTCATAGCCACAAAGCCAGTCTAACGGGCGGACGGGGGGGTTGGAAACAAACCCCTACTTGTCTGTCTGTATGGGTGTATCTGTGTGTGATAGAGAGATATATACACACACACACTGCCCCAGTCCACGGGCAAAAACACCTAGCTGTACTGGATTCTGAAGTGTGTGACACATGACATAGGACTGGAGTGTGTTGGTGTGTGTGTGTGTGTGTTGTGTTGTGGTGAGAGAGAGAGAGAGAGAGTGCGTAGGAGTGCAGTTTGGTAACCCAGAAGCAACTTCCTCAGCCTTAGAAAGACACACATATACACACAAAGTCAACACCACACCTTCATTAAATACACTCACACTTCCAGCTATCAGACACATCTGCTGGCACTCCCCTATCAGGCATCCTTACACACACACACACACTCTCAGTTATTGGTCTGTCTGACACTATTGGGTGCATTTTCAGTTCACTGACATTTAGTGTGACAGCCCTTAGCCAGCTGCCAAGCGGGTGACCCGTGGTGCATTTATATCACGTGGGAAAAATAATCGACTTTAATGTTGTTTTCATTTTCAAACCTGTTTGCTGACTGAACGTAGTACTGACCATGAGCTCATATGAGCACATACAAGACAATATTAAAGCCAGATTTCACTTGTTTAAGCTATTTTGATTATTTAAAACTTAAAACAAATGTCCTTCTGTTCCAGGTTTCTGATCCCATCCCGATCAAAAAGTCCAAACATGAAGACTTCCCGTCGCAATCCCCGCTGGCTGACAAAGAGAAGCAGCACGACTGGCTACAGTCCCTGTCCGCCTCCAACAAGGTTGGTGTCGCTGAGCTCAGGAAGGAGATGATGATGATGATGATGATCATAATGATGCACAGTGCATGAGATGAGATGTCATGTAATATTATACAGAGGTTTTCGGATGAGGGTAGCGCTTAAATTTAGATTTGGCAAGCCACGCTAACAGAGGGGGTAACCGTAGATGCCACGAGCCCCGTGGATTCACTTACTGAGATGGAGCGAAGTTTGAGAGAGCAGTGTAACAGAATATAAGCAAAATATAATGACGGATGTCCCCTGTGTGGATCAATATTCCTTAAAAAACCTGCCATGGAGATATGGTTAAAATGGAGGTATACTTAGAAAGTCTTCAACAATGAATCTTCATGCTGACTGCTCTCCAGTCACATAACACATTCATCTCTGTAGCACACCCTTTTAATCAATGCACTGGTCTACAGGAAAAGAAATACAAGCAGTCACTGCAACCTAAAGCACTTTGTAACGGTAATAATATTATACCACACCATTAATAATTCTAATCAGAAATAAAGCTCTGATGTATTCTGTCTAAAGCTGCATGATTTGGATATCCCATAATTCCTTGTAAACCCCACTTTCCTGGACAAAATCCAAGGTCAAAGACAGCTTTCACAACAAACTATTTGAGGAAACATCTGTAGTGACTTTAAGGCAGTGGTTCCCAAACGGTGTGACAGTACAGACAATACAATATGCAATATTCAACTATTTTAATTTACTGTAGCAGTACTTTGTATACTGTTTGTAGTTCAATTACCTCATTTTTAAAAAACCTATTGAAGACCTTCTTTTAGACAACATTTAAGATTTCAGAAATATTGCTCCTTTTGTTGAATGAAAAATGAACTTGTAGAATAACATGTTGATGTATCTCAAAGTAAAGTAATGCGTGAACTCAGATATCATATCAGCATTAGCATCTAAAGGTTTAACGATATCTGTACACCAAAATGGAGCAACTGGCTGTATCACTTGTGATTTAAATATTATTGCTGTCTTTTTTTCAGGGGCTTAACTGCATTCAGCCCAGGCAGAGGCCCTCAGCTTTCAGACCCTGGTCCCCCCACATCTCTGCTGGTGAGAAGGAGCCTTCCAGTCACCCCCTTGCCCTCCTGAGAGACAGGTGAGCCCAACACAGACACTCTCACAAAACAGCACCCAACTGACAAAAAATAAATAAAAACAACAAAATATCTTTAACAGCAAGAGATAACAGCCATTTTGTTTAGCTGGATATGATGAGCTCCCAGCATGCTCTTTCACTTGTCTGGGTGGGCTGGTGTCAAAGGGGTCAAGTCTGACTGTACCACAGCCTCCCACACTCCACCATTCGCACACATTTGACACACACTCATACTGTGGGCACACACTTGGCATGGTGATGCCAGTGCAGGCTGCACCATATCACAGTTGATCTGGCCCAGTTTCTCATAAAGTGGGAGGAAAGAGCTGCAGGCACTTTATTTGAATGTTCTCTACCCTGGTCGGCATAGGCTGTTCAAATTGGATCATACAATATGGTGCTGGCTTTGTTTACTTGCATGCAGAATGCAGCTCTTGTTAATCTGAAAAAAAAACTGTCTGGTTTCCTCTTAGCTTCTACAACTACAAGAGCCTAGAGAAAGCCGTGGCCCCCAATGTTGCCCTCACACCGTTGCCCCTGGGGAAGGTGAGTCCCATGTCCCCTTCGGTACCAAGCACCTCCCACCCAAGCGGAGGTGAACCACCAGGTGAGAGCACCAACGCTAACTCCAGGCCTCGCAAGAGAAGGGCCACAGGGGAGCTTCCGCCCCCGGCGCCAGAGGCCCCCTGCCCTGTATCCTCAGCTGCCATCAAGCTGCCCCCACCGCCTCAGGACGACAAAGACTCTGAGGTGGAGATTGAAGTGGAGAGCCGTGACGAATGTAAGCAAAGAACTCAAAGTGCCAGCAACTAGATATGTGCAGACTGTTTGTTATGGGGCTAGCTAAATTTAGCCCTGATTCCACAGCTTTTCCACAATCCTCACCCTTTCTTGTGTCTCTGGTCTCTCCCAACAGTCACTTCTTCCCTGTCCTCCCTGTCGTCGCCATCTTTCACTTCGTCCAGCAGCTCAGCCAAGGACTTGAGCTCGCCAAGTGCCCAAGGGTCCATCTGCACTGTCACGTCAGCCGAGGGCACTGCCCCTGTAGCGGCACCCGTCGCGGCCCCCGTGACCCCACCAGAGCTGGGGCTAGAGTCGGAGCTGGAGAGCTTGAGGCAGGCGCTGGACAGCGGGCTCGACTCAAAAGAGTCAAAGGAGAAATTTTTGCATGAGATTGTTAAGATGAGAGTGAAGCAGGAGGAGAAGTTGGGATCTGCTCTGCAAGCCAAACGCAGCCTTCAGCAGGTAAGCTTCCATTCATATCACTGTAAGAATAGTATGACGTGTTCGGAAACATGCTTGTTTGTCACCTTTCCCTTCGTTGAATGAGAACAATACAGAGATAGGTCCAAGATGTGTTTAGTCCGGCTTAGCACAAAGACTGGAAGCAGAGGGAACCTGCTAGACCAGCTTCATTAGGAGTTTCCAACAACAGCTTCCAACAACTCTAAAGCCAACACACAGAGTTGTTGACTTTGGAACTTGCACTCAATTTGACCTTCAGTTGACTGGTCTGACATTTGACCTGACTTAAGACTTGGATGGAAAATGTTTTAAAGTTTTACATTTTGTAGAATCCTGGATCTGCAGAAATCCCTGCATATAAAGGACTTAGCCATGCACTTGAGGCTTGATCTGACTTCAGACTTTGCTGGAACTTGCCTTGACTGACTCGAGATATGACTTGGAGTTATCTTAATTCATTTTGACTTTTCTTATGACTAGCCTTGATTGATTTTGGACTTTGTTAGGACTTGTCTCGATATACTAGACCTGACTTGTAATTTACTTGATTAACTTGTGACTTGACTTGAACTTATGCCGATTTACCTGACCACCTGGGTTGGACTTGTCTTGATTAACCTCATCCTTGGCTTGTAAGAAGTTTTTAAAAAGCTTTGTCAGAGACATTTTAAAGGGGATTTGGAAGGCATTTTCAATCATTATACCACATATAGGAGCAGACAATAGCTAAACCAGCCTCTGTGTGATCCAAGGCTACCAACCAGTCAGAGGTGCCAGTGTAACTCTATATATAGAAGCTGTGATTGTCTGTTTGACAAATAATTGAACAGCACACATCAGAGTTATACAAACAATGACTTATGAATTATGTTTCCTTTGTTGCCCATAGCAGCAGCCTGATATCACTGGATTGCCATTAGTACTCATATCTACAGCCCTGGTGATTAAGGATTTCTATTCTCACACTGATATGCTATATTTACATAATATATGATTTTATTCAAGCAGATGCAACATAATGATGCATCACTGTCGACTTAGACAAAGGGATTTCCCAGCCCTAGCTGCCTTTCACAACTCATACGAGGCCCTACGTTCTTGAAATCAGACTTTCAAAGTTGACACACTGAGCCAATGCATCAAATTGCAGAAGTGGATTAGAAATCATTATCACAGTCCGCAAAGCAAGTTGGCAAGTGATAACAATGAGAGCGGATGTTGCTGCAAAGGGAAAGGCCAGACTTCCATTTTTATTTTTGGTCTTGGACAGAGAACAAAAAAAATGCAGACGAAGGAGTCTGTGTGGGTGAGCTACACAAAATGCATCCTGAGCGAGGAACAGCAACTCCAGCGACAGCATTCCACTTTCACTTTCCATCTGGGGATTAGAGGAGCACAATTCCAACCATCCTACAAGCTAAATGAATGCTGGCCTCACTGTAAATTAACCCACTAGTGTAATTCTGGCTGGTTTTAGTTGAACTAACCCTCATCCTAATCCTGCTGCTAGTGAAAGAGTTGTTATGTAAAGCCTCTGTAGAGTAAAGGGTGTGAGGTGGATTGTTTCTTTTCACTCTTTTTGTAGGAACCAACAAAGCTTGATGACAGACATGTTTGTCCCAACTGCTATGTTCCCATGAGCATGCTAAGGGCGTGTTACCACAACACACACACACAC